CGTATGCAAGAAACCAAAACCCTTAGGAACAGGGGTTGACACACACACACACAGCAGCACACATTATTTTGCATATGTCCATCGTTGGAAGAGATTGGAATCGCTTGAAAAGCCTGCTTCGCAGTAGTGGAACTTGGCAGTGCGAGGAAACTCTGAGACTGTCACATGTATCTTGCAAGTTTTGCTGCTGAGGGGCTTAGATGCTGCCGATCTTGCCATCTTCTAACCAAGCCAACCAGGGGCAGATAATATTTTAGGATGCATGCAGGATCACGCAGGGGGTCAGAACTTTGGACACAACCCTCAAGGAATGGACGATGTTGAGAAATACTGATACTGGACTATGTTTTGCAGACTGCTGGAGTTCAGCGAAGCCTTTTTATTCGTTCGCCGGTGCCCCCCGCCGTTGGTCCAAGAGGAGGTGACAGATGTCGTCGTAGACGTCGACCCAACGAACAAAAAAAACTATAGGAACTTGTGGAAGGCACGAGCACACCGAAAAAAAAGGACACGGCACCATCGTCACGTCGCACTATCGCACGGCTTCATCGGTTGCTTTTGGCAGCACTGGCCAGACTGGCCGGCGGGGAAAAAAGGACCCGCCGGTCGCCTCCGTTCGGACGTTGGGGGCCTTAAATGGAGTCCTTCCACTGGAATGCATTGGATCTTGGACAAAACGGATGAAAAAAGGCTTGGGAGACCACGGCATTTGACAGATGAGCGCCATGAAGCCGAAGCCTGGTAGTTCGGTGTTGGCTTTGGCACGTTCCTTTTTCAAAGTGCTTTTCAGAGTTGTAGGTATATAGGATGTGCATCCGGAACGGGCGTCATTCAGGTAGCAACTAGGTAACTTAGGTTTCTTTTGTCCTTTTCACTCAAGGTATACCTGACCATGTGCATGGAAAAACGATAGCTGGACTCATTTACTGGATATTTTCACGTCATGTTCAGAAATCATATCATGATGTGAATATATTTGACGGCCGGTTTGGGCAGTTGGGTCTGTCACCCCACATAAACACACGTCCCACATAGGCCGCCTGGTCATATCTCATGTGCGGACACCCATGGCGGCCTTTGATCGCCGCGATTGGTTTCATCGGCTCTTCGGCTTCACGGAGGCGCGAGAAACCAGGGGAAGGAGGTGGTCCGGTGCAAAGTTCGTTGCCTGGGCACGACTGGCGTGCTGGTTTTCCGGTGAAGTGCCTCGAAATCGACGATTCAAGGTCATCATGGGCATGGAACATAGACCGTGCATACTCAACCACTTTCCTCTAGAAGGGCGCCATGCCATACAGGAGTCATGCTGTAATTACCCAGTAAATCTCAGTTGCCAATATCGCAAGAACCGGAGGTTCAGGTCTACGGATTAAGTCGAACTGGAACCACTGGTGACCTACTATCCATACACCTCCAGTCATACCTCCTCAGAAGGTACTTGGACCCTCTAAACCCGCCCCAAACACCATACTTGAAGCCTAGGGTATAGTGGTACCTGGATCAAGTGTTTTAACATTGGTCCACGCATCGACTCGATCCATCAACTCGATGATGCCTCAACTCGGTGGGTGGTCAGGGTTTGGGGCTGCCCGGGTGGTTTGGATCCAGCATTTGGCATAAGGACCAACTGGATAACTGCACTTAGGATTGTTTCGGGTGATCCCAGGTCAGAACCAACACTGCATTTGAATGAGAGGTTGGGACAAGTTATTACACCAGGTTTGGCACGTGTGCTTCTTCGTGGCAGAACACTTCAAGATTTTACCACGAAGGGTTGAGCCCAGGTTTGGAAGGCACAAAAGCACTCATCTTGTGGACAATGTTGACTGTTGATCAGTAAGACCTCCATGCAGGTGGTGCTTGACCATGCTTGACCTTGGGCTTTCTTTGTTGGATTGTGTTGGAATCAGCAGTCAACACCTGGCGTTTGAACACTGCCCAAACGACCCTGTGCCTGTATCCTGCGAGGAGGGCTATGAGAAGACCCAGGCGTCCTTCGTAGTGGAAGAGGATGCCGAAGAGCCCTGGCATGTTCTCAGACCAGGAAAGCCTTTGGACAACATGTGGCTGAAAGTGAGCTGCGCCCCTGACACCTCGTTCTGACATGGGTGCCCATCCAGTCAACCACTGCAGACTGCAGTCAACCAGTGCATATCCTTTGCAAGTTGTGCCTGCCTTTGAGGTGGACCTCTATAAGAACTCCCACTAGTGAGACCATGTCGATCATGGCTCTAACCTCCCCAACACACATGGAAGGGTTCACGCCATACCGGACTCCCACTCGCGCTTTGGATAGAACATGATAATCATGATAGAACACAATATATTGGTGGTCAACCGGGCATCCGTATCGTTTCATTTACGACGCGGATCGTGCTGTGGTTTTTCCCGCACACTTGACCCCTCCAATCATGTCTAAGGACCCTAAAATGCTGCTGCTCAAGAGCTTGGGCAACGGGCAGCTGGTCTGAGGAAACCGCGTCGCGTCGCCGTGGCCGAACCGGGCCAAACCGGGTGGTCGCGTGGCAGAACGCAGCGACGTCACGTTGTTGGGCAACATGTTTGCAAACCATGGATCTCAATGGGCCAGTGGAGGTTTCAAAGCGCCTCTCAGCAGTGTTTTAAGGTTTGACAGGTTCGATGCAAAACTCAGGTGGGGAAACCACTCTCTCAACAAAAAGGTGCTGTACTTCGAGTGCTGCACCGAAGCATGAACATGCTTGAGCCACCAAATCACCAGGAAATCATGTACCCTATAGGGCTCCAGTCGTACCTTCTAAGAAGGTGGGACTGGGGTGGGTTTAGAGCGTCCAAATATTGTGAGGAGGTACTGGCTCGTACTTGGAGCCCTAGGGGTAAATGTATATATACCTTCACTCGGTGAGGCTTCCCTCTTTTGAAAATTGTGGACTCCTTTGGAGTTTGCATGGTGGATTTTTCTCAATCACGCATCCGCCATGGCACGTTTCACTCCGCACCCAACAATACAAAGTTTGCCTAGCCTCCCAAATGCTTCTTAGAACATGGGGGTATCTCAAAAAGCAGACCGAATCTTGTGTTTGTGCATGTTTGTGCTATTCGCGGTGTATTTTCAAGAAGTTCCAGTTAGCCCGCTTCTTGGATGCAAGCGAAAAGCCCAAACTGCTCGTGGGCTCCCTTTATTTGGGCCACCATTCCCCACCTGCCACCAGGGCCACCTTCCGCGCGGGCCACTTCGACACGCCCAGCCTCGCCGAGCTCCGGGCGGCCAGTTCGCCGAGCTCCGTCACCGGGCAACGGCTGCGGGTGAGAAACGAGAGCCTCAACGGATGGGGCGAGGGCGAGGGCGATCGGGTGGGGTGAGGTCGGATGCAATGTCCAGGTCCCTGTGAACAAGCAAGCACGCCTGGGAAGAGTCAACCGATTTTAACTTTACTGAATTAGAATTCACGTGTGCAGCGAGACCCAATGGAGTTGTCAGGCAAAATTTGCGTTGGGTTGATCAATGAGATGCAGAGACCCCAGAAAGAGAAAGACTATAATAGTCAATTCACAGAAGCAGGATGTATTATATACTGTTGTCTTGATACATGGTGCTGATGCTTGGGAGGATGCTCGCTCAGAGTGCTTCGGAGGTTCCAATTCATCCTCTACTCATTGGAAGTCGCAGCACCCATCCAACATGGATGCTTATATAGGACTGCTTGGGAGCATCCTTGGAGCTTTCCAATGCCAAAAGCAAAACCTGTTTCTTGAGAAAATGGGGCTTCAATGTGTCTTTTATAGTTGATGTCGCTTTTCGGGTCGTTGTCCTAGGATTGGCGATGTGGCGGCGAAGCACGCGCTGCCTGAAAACCGCCTGGTGCCATGGCACGACCAGCGCCAGAGATGGCGCTCCACCAGCCAATTCAATGTAGAACCATGGTTTTGATTTCTCCACCTTGAGTTTTGGATGGTTTTGGATTGATTGGGAGCCGCATCGTACAGTGCGTTTCTTCGACCCAACTCGCATGGAAAGACCTCCGTCCGCCCAACGGATGTCCACAGCCAGCCTCGGGTGTTCGGCTCCAATGGGCTCAGTCCCGGCATGTGGAGCTCCACATAGCTCCACATAGGCCCTCCGGTGAAAGAACCACTGCCCTCTGGGCAGAGGGGATCACAAAATCTGGGATCAACGCGCTCGAACCTGTGCTTCTTGACTCAACACGCTCCATGTGTGTGAACATGTCCAAACATATACATATATCCATCGTGCACTGCGTGGCAGCCTGAAATATGCCTTTCCGGTACGCACATTCCACCATGTCAGTGGGAGACTTCCTGGGAGTAGATGTGCCATTCTGTTGGTCTTCAGCACCCTTACAGTCATCCAGTCGATGGAATATTAAGATGATTGACACCAATGAAAACCTGATCATGATCATGATCATGTTTTGGGTAGTTCATACATTGCCCACTATAGTCAGAGAGTGGTGAGTTAGGGCCACCCTTCCTTCACCTGAACCGGAACGGCGTCGTTGGGGTGTTCGTTGCTCCATCTCCACCAAGGCCACGTTCCAAGTGGCGTCGCAGTTCAACTGCCTGGAGTTTGTGGGCCCCTCCGTGGTGCCCGAAGACGGCATCACCGGCTATGTGCGCGGTCGGCACTTAAAGTGTTCTCGGCGTGGACTTCGGCGCACAGCACAGACAAGACTCCGGAGTTTTGGTTGCGGAGCCTTTTTGTGGGGCGGTTATAGAAGAAAAAGACTGGCAGCAGGTAGCGCGGCATCGACTTAGGAACTCGTTGGCAACTTCAGAACTCCAAACTGCAAGATTCTGACTTGGAAGGCCCAAACGTGAACACCAAGCCGCCCTTTAATAAGTTGGCAACTTGGATCCACTTGGCACAATCTTTGCCACACTCATTAGCAATGGGAATAAACATGAATCAACTATGCCCATCTCCCACCCCCCCACCCCCCCAAGTCACCCCCTCCATATCCCAGGTCATGGACCGTACACAAGGCCCTGCCTGTTCGATCGCCTGCGGTCCGGCCACCGTCGTTCGGAACTACTTCGCTCCACTGGGCGGCTCCGTCGGGCAACGCCGGGGGAGGCCGGGCGCATCGCGCGCATCGCCTGCGCAGCATCGGGCGGGCGGCCCCAAACGGGCGGACGTGGGAAACAGCTGGAGAGTCAAAGCTGTTGAAATGGTTTCTTTCTTGGAGAGTCAGACGGACCCTCGTTCGGGAAGGTCAGAGGCTGTAATAGAGATCGTGCCCTTGACTTGGCCATGGCTTTGCGTGGTGGGCCGTATGAAGACAAGTGTTTTTCTCTTTTTGACAGAGCTATGTTTAAGAACTACTTGGCGTTGGTCCACCTGGAAAAGCTCCAGCAAGTTGGTGTGACACAGATATTGCACGGGCAACCAGCCAGTTACTAATATAGTGGTTTCAGAATAGATGGCACAATCCGCAAAAGGTAGTTTGTATAGATCCCCATCTAACAGACATCTTCGCTGAAACCACTGTATATATGATATATGCACAGGAAGTCAAGCGACGCCAGAAAACTAAAGACATTGTGTCATGTCGAGGTTTAACTCAGACAAGGCCCCTCGACTATTAAACTACGCCCTGAGAGTCAAGGATGTCTAAACTTGAATGGTTTGCCAAGGGTATATTGCCTAATAAGAACGTCCTCTACTTCGCTGGGGCCCAACATATTCGACTTCTAGGATCCCAGCAGCTCAGCACTGCCACCTTACTTCTTACTAAGTCGACTATATCGCTTGCAACTTCTAAAGCTTGCAGCTGGTGACCTGCCCTCTGAAGAGAGGCTTCTCTCTTGGGAGGATGCCGCTCCCATCCGCCTCGGCTCCTCCCCGCGACCGACTGGGCCGGTGATGGGGTTTTCTCGACCCCGCGGTGTTCCATGACAGTGAATCCTCCAAAAGGACCGATGTTTTTGGAAGGAGATCTGTCAGAACTGTCCAGAAAGAGAGAGAGAGAGAGAAGTGTCTCCTGCCATTTTATCTTGACTGAAGATTGACTAAACATTGCAGGCAAATCAACAACCTGCAAGACTTCCTTGCAGAGTTGGATGAGCTTTGCAATCCCACCGCACCCGAGCCACTTGGATACGGAGACTTCACTCTGAACTCGCTCTGGTAGTACTGCATGATGGTAAATACGTCTAAACAATTATTTAGTATATATATATACACAGTTTTTGTTGATTTTGGCATCTGGCAGGCGCCAAGGTCGCCATTTTGTAGATTCTTGGTAATAGTAATAGGTTGTTTGTTCTATGTGGCATTCTGTTTTGCACTTGCAAGACTTCCATGGAAACCAAACTGAACAAAACACAAATGGCGATAGAGACAGGGAGAGAGAGAGAGAGAGTAAATTGATTGATGTTTTTCTCTCCCTCGGGATCCGCATACCTTCTCAGAAGGTACTTGGGCCCTCGAAGCCTACATAAACTGTCTCTAATCACCTTCTGAGAAGGTACTTGGATCCCTAGGGTCTTATTAAGCACATTTGCAATGAGGTCACATGCTCTGGGTACTGCACCCTTCCTGCGCGTCCGCAGCGGCTACACTGAAGCATCCTTTCGTGAGCTGCAGCGGCTCAACCGAGCGCTGCCACTGGGTGCGCAGCGCTTGGAGGGGGTTTAGATAGATGGAAACGGATCGTGTTTTGTGGATACTTGGTGGTTGGCGAAGGTGTTGCCGGGTGTTGCACCTTCAAGGTGCCGGTATTTACAAGGGCATTTCTTCGTATCTCCAGGCTTGGACGAAAAATCATCCTGTAGTATCACTTAAGACCCTTCTGCTCCTGCATCTCGCTCCTATGGTAATGAGCCCCTCCTGAGTCTTCGACGATCCTCCCAGGAAGGGCCTTTCGGAGGAGCAATTGGACCGTCTCAGGGGGAAGCTCCGCATTGGTCTCCATGAGGAGGTCCAGGCGGGCGGGCGGCCTGGATGGGGTGCAGACGAAGGAGTATTTGCAGCTATAGATTTGTGATGGTTTGTGTGACATTTTGTATAACTATAGACAATGTGGTTGAACCATGTTGAAGCAAGGATGCCAGAGCCCCATAAAATCGTGGAGCAAAATACATCCGTTACTTGAATTCCTTTTGGTATCCTTCAATAGTAGTTTAATGGTAGTCGTGCGTGCATAGTGATATTGTGTTCCTGGAATTTGTCTCCACAATCACAAGTTCTACAACTCGCAAGTCTTCAAATCTCAAGTCAAGTGGCCCTTAGATCTTATCCATGATCCAACCTTATAACTTATTATACTGATGGGAAGCCCAAGGACCATCCTGCCAATGTATATATTCTCCCTGCTGAGGGACCGGCAGTCCTTCCGCTCCTTCAGCCCACCACACCCCGCCCCAAGAGCGCCTCAGCGGGGCACCGGCGCAGCGGGGGGTTCACCTCTCCAGGTCACCTCCACCGCTTGGGGCGCCAAGCTGGTGCATCCTTCGGCCAACCAGCACCTCGGAGCCCGGCCTGACCGGTCGAGGTCGGCGGTCAGGCGGTCAGGCGGTCGGGTCGAAGACCGCGCGGCCCAAAAGATCCATCCGGCTTGACCGGTCGAGTGGTAGGAAGATCCAGAGATTGAGAGTCTTTTTGGGTTGGGTTGTTCCTGTGTTTGTCCCCCTGCTCCATGTAGTTGGTGCAGAGGACTTTGGACAGGGTTTTTGTTCCAAGTTCGCTGGGCGGTAGCGAGCTAGAAGCCAGATTGTATGACAAGACGTCTAGCCATGTCTAGCCCTGTCGGCTGTTGTAAGAACTGAGCCTCCATGGGCCGGGCCTCACCGCGTGGTACTGCATCGCCATGATTGGGAGACCTTGGCGAGGTTGGTCACGCAAGTCTTTGGTTCAGCCTGCTCAGTGGCCTACAGCCGGGCGGCTTGGCGAGCAGTCAGGGAAACATGCACTCAACTCCAGCAGAACCAGACTCAGTCATGCAATAAGACCCAGCATCACACCTGGGCCATGCCATAAACCATCATAAACCCACTTGCTTGTAGTGAGTAAGGGTCTTGTCATAAGAGCTGGGTCACTCATCAAGCTTTCCAACATCACACTCCTGAGGATAGTTCGAGAGATGATTGGGAGCCGGTGGCCAGGTTGATCTTAGAGGCCTCCTACGAGGTGCGCAGGTGGATCAGCGTGCAGCTGGAGCTTACTTGAAGTGGGTCGCGGCCGCTGGTGCGTTTCAACTCAAGCTTATAGCTGTAACATCTGTAACTTGCGTTTGGGAGGCTTTTTCTGGATAACAAGATGTAACACTGGTCACCGGACCCCGAATGGCAGGAGTGGCCGAGTGGTGACCTCCCTCCAACTCCGCGAGGCCACGCTGCTCGCGGCCTTGAAGCAAGCGATCAAGCACGAAGGCCGAGAGGGATCCAACCGAGTCTTCCTCACATGCCTCGGACGCCCGGCCGCGTTGGTATGTGCTCATTTCCTTCGTTGGTATTTTGTGTGGTTCCCCTTGCCGGCGGATCAATGAACAGATAAACACATGCGAATAGTGTATATATAGACAAAAATATGCGAGCCGTGAAGGAAGCCGACCTTGGAGGATTCAGGTGCATTTGTTGTTTGATATTTTTGGCGTCAGCGCGGACCACTGGCTCTGCATGTTTGTGGCTCCAAAGATATGGCAACCACGGACGAAAAGACGGCTTCTACGTCTCCGTTCGGTCTCCGATGGGTTGTTGGGGCTAGGGGCTAGGGATTTTGAGCAGCCACCAATTGATTGGCGATGCTTCAAGGGTTTTGTTGCCCACACCTGTCACACTTTAGACCTGGATACTGCAGGTTATTTTTGTTTTTTGGGGCATGCCTGATGTACTGTACTGCGCCAACAGTTGTAATTGGCATGAGACAACTAGTAGCTTCTTGCTACTAGTAGTCATGCCGTCATGCCCTTGTTACTAGTAGCGATGCACCTTGCTACTGGTAGCTTCTTGCTACTACATGCCCACGTACGCCCTGCTGAACACCGTTTTTTGCACAAACGCATCGCTCTTGACAGTACAACGCTGCGCAGCGGCGTCTCCGGGGCGGATCGGTCTAAGGAGGAGGCGTCTTTGGCAATTCCATGGTGCCTCGGAGGGGGCGACGAGACGAAAAAGAGAAGGAGTAGGTATAACAAGAGGTGCAGGAAGAGGTGCATGGCTGTCTGTTGATGAATAAAGTTCCCATAATGCATGTAGACTGGTTGTATACATCTCCATATTGTCGGTTATATATTATATATCAATGTGTGTGTGTGTCAAACGTTAATTCAACTTCCGACTAAATACTTGATACACATAACTCTATGACACCTTTTGTGTTTCGCACGGCATCGGAAATGCATTTTTGGTTGGCTGGTTGACCACCCTTCAATGCGATTGGATGGCCTCAAAAAGGGCGGCCTTCGGCCATGTCCAGGTGTTTGTATCCATGTGGCAAGTGTTTTTTTTGTGGTTTAAGTGTTCATGTGTCCTCACTTTCCTGTTTCTTACAGTAATTTGCGGCGTCGGTCAGAACCATCACATCATCGAAAGAAACGCAGAAACACAAAGACTCAGTTTGGCAAACCAGTGAGAACAAAAGGCTGTGGGGACTCGGGGACGCGGTCTCAACCCCAGGAGTGGATCCTGGATGCGATGCGCCGAGCCTTCCTGCAGCTCAAGGAAGCTGATTTGGATGTGAGGATCGTCACCTATGCAGGCGATCGTGGATCGTCGCCCTAGGATCGAAGCATATCGAAGCCATCGACGACTTCGACCAACGTTTGGATGTGTTCTTCACGTGTCACGGGGGTTCAGTCGAACAACTGGATCGGCATTGTTCAGATGCACATCCCCAAACTACCCCAGACTCTGCATTTGTTGACACTGAACTTGACTCCTGAGACCACGCGACTCGTCGCGTTCGGTCGAAGGGCAGACTGGTCAGCGACCGAGGATGGCGAACGACCGGACGGCGAGAGAAAACGGGGTGGCTTTCGGATGGGCGTCCTCGACCGGCTGGAAGGCACCAGAGAAACCATCCGGAACGACGCATGCAGAACACATGAGGATGCGAGTGACGGGTTCGTTGTGGTTTGGTAGCTGTATCTATAGCCCGGGTTTGGTATGGTTTGGTAGCTGTGGTTGAAGATAGGTGCGGGTGGAGGATGGGAAGCACATCATTTCGGATCAAAGGTTTGGGAAGGCTGGGGAGGGAGGCGTCACGATTCACGAAGCTTGGCACACTAAGACATGGCTGACATGTGGATTTCTCCACGAATCATATATCGGGTGTAATAGCTCGAGTGTATTTGGAATAGGTTACCAATACGGTTTGTTTGTTGTGCGGGGAGGCCCAAACTTCTTTGTGAATCCGGGTGCTTGCCAGGCCATGAACACATATGTTTCACTCGAAGAAGGGTCGGGCCGGCGTGCCAGGTTCACCAGGGCCCCACTTGCTGCAGCTCGAGCGGGAATTCGACGGAAGATGAGGAAGATGAGCAGAACTGCCCAAAATGGGTCAGTTGAGGCGGTTCGCCCATGCTTTCAGGGCAACAAGGAGGCCAAAAGGATTGCATTTGGGTGACGAGTTGGTGTGGGCTGTAGGCCGGCATGTTTTTTATGCGCATAGAAATTCAGGGGGGATACCTTGCGTGACTGTTGCTGTTGTAGCTCATCTTGCCATTTTCAACCTGTGACTATAAGACCTTTGATCAACCTGCCGCTCCATCAGCACGGCATGCCGTGATGAACGCAACTCCTGTCAATTCAGCAGCACCACAACCGGTCATCCCCAAGAAATCAGACACGTCTCAAGCATGAACCGAGCTTTGGCCCTCTCAAGCCTGAACCGAGTGCTCTCAAGCCAAAAGCCACAGGACTTCAAATAGACTTCATCCACCAGCAGTCACAGAGCTCGGGGTGGTGTGGCTCATCCCATCCAGTGAGTGGATGTGACAAGGGCACCCCGACTACCTCCATCGATCGCACCCCAACTGGCACACTGCTGGCATTGTGGCACACATGGATACGAAATGATACAAAACTGATCAATAATGGTTCCCATAGGTTCCTAGTTAGGTTCCTGTATCTCTGGGCAAGGATTATATATTTGTGGAGGATCGCAAACTACAATGTTGGGAGCCTTGCTCAGCACATTCGAACAACCCAACGACCCAACTTGCGGCTTTATCAATGACTTTGGGGTGTGTACATGTTATATCTATACATCGTCATAGTTACTAGATGTTACTAGGGTCTGAAAGGGGACACAGTTTTCGTAAGGCACTCGTCGAAGCAACGTGGGGCCAACATGTTTCAGGAAGGCAGAAGAATCAGAAGGGACGACGTGCCCAAAATGGACCACTAAGACACTAAGTTAAGGCCTTTTTCCTTGTGTTTTGTGTTTCTTTCATGGTGGCGCCTCCTCATGATCACTCCGTCTTTCTGCCGCACTGTGCAGGATTTTGGACGACCCCCAACTTGGCGCGTTCCCTTGGGACGTTCCCCGTCCAACACTAGAGCCACCCACGTCTGAGCCATGGGTGGGCTGCGCTCTGCGGCGCCCATGTGGTGCTTGGTCGTATACACCGTCGCATGTGGCTTTGTGGGTGTCTTGGAGGAACATGGGGGTCAAGTGAGCAGCACATGAACATGTTCACATCATGTGTTCATGTTCAGGCGATTGCAGCAACTTCTGGGAAACTGAAGCCGTGCCACCCACACTTGGTGGGACTGGGGGGAAGGCCGTGCAGATGAGATTGGACTCCTGTCGGCGAGACCTTGGAGTTATTTCTAGTGCACAAATAGCGGCGACGCTCGAACCCTGTAGTCCTGTATCGTCAGAAAGTGCGATGGTCACATGTGCCCTGAAATATGCCTCCAACTGCCAACTCTAAGTCTGAATGAGTTCGAGTAAATTCTTGGATCCCTGCTGCTTCCCTGTAGGGCCCAAGGGCAAGTACTTGGGGGGGCATAGCTTGTCCAGCCCCTGGAATGCTTAAGGTTACTTTTGGCGAAACGGATCAAAACCAGGTTCAGGAGGGGTCCTGGGGTGGTGCCCGGGGGGGTGTCCTGGAGTGGTGCCCAGAGTTCAGTGAGTCTGGGGGGGTGTCCTGGGGTGGTGTCCGGGGGGGTGTCCGGGCATAGCTATGTACTCTCGGCAAGCTTCAGGTGTGCTATGGGATGTGAGCCCCGGCATCTCACGCCGGCTGTCAAGGATCCACCGGCTCAGGTCCTGTCAGGTCCTGGCCCAGTGGTCCATGGTGTTCGCTGGGCCTCCCGCCGATGTACCGAGGTGGGGGGCCATCAGCAAGGAGGCTGGATCCGGGTTCGGCAGGGTCGTGGCCAGTTCGGCAGACAGACGACCGGGACGAGCCAAGAAGACGGCGACCGTTCCTGCCGTACGTGGACTGGAGGCAACGGCCACTGGTTTCGCAAGGCAAATGGTTTCAAGGGCTGCATGATGGCATCACTTATTATGTTCCTCATGTGTTCAGGCCAAGTGGTTTGCACTTCCGTTCTTCGCGCGTCCCTTGTGGACTTCCCAACCCGCAGAACCCGACCGGCTCGACCGAACCGCTCCCTCCGCCGCCACGAGCTCGGCTCAAGCCTCGGTCGCGCCCATTTTGGACGGAGACGAAGGACGTCGACCGCAGAACCCGCCCGCCATGGCAACAAAGGTGTCCGGAATGCCGGCCTTCATCACGGACAAGAACAATCCGGTCGGCTACTGCGTGCAGGGTGCCATTGAGCTTCTGGACTTTGGTTGGGCAAACTGCTTTGGTATTTGACTGTAGAGTGACTTCAGTGGTTCTAGATGGGCCCAGTCTGACATGTTTCATTTTTCCAGGGTGGCCCAAACCTGCTAAGGGAGGGCCCATGTATTTAGTTAGCAAGTTAAGCTGCTTACTCAGACGTCACAGAGTTTTGTGGACTGCTGGACGGAATTTGTATATTCGTGCGATTACGTTGAAGTCATTCGTCGTTCGTCTTCAAACTTGGACAGCTCACCGATTCTAGTTGGCTGCGACCATGACATCCAAGGTTTGGCATGGATTCACGCCGCTTGATCCAACGCTGCACCAAGCCAGATGCCAAGGAGTTCAAGAAGATTGCAGTCGCCTGCGCCATCGGCTTCTCCATCATGGGCTTCATCGGCTACACAGTGAAGATGCTCGGACCGCAAGGTGATTGAACCTTTCCGTGCACGCGAAGCAGGAAAGAATATATCTATATATAGAGTAGATTCATGTATATACATATTCACAATATTCAGTCAACAATCATAAGTGCCTGGAATCATCGTAGCACCGACTCAAAGCAAACCCGCGTTTCCAACCCGCTTTGCGCAACTCAGGCTGGTCTTCATCCCCATCAACAACATCATTGTTGGCGGCAGCTAGATGTGAATTCCTGAGAGGCTTAACCCGAAGGGTGCGAGGTACCACGGAGCGATTTCTCCGAGTGCTCCAGAAAAGGTTCAGAGGTTCCGTGAGGCAGTTGAAGTTGTGCCAGTTGGGTTGTCAGGCTTTTGAACCACTTGGTTAGGCAGCTGATGGAAATTGAAGGGTCCCAGCTGTTCAGCTTCTCGGCTCAAAGGTACTGAGACCCGTAGGTAGGTCGTTAAGGAACCATTCTTGGGCCTCTCACTGCCTCAACCGGTCGACAGGTGTTCACGATGATTCCATCACAATCGCCGTGTCACTTGGCCATCGTGAGGGTTCCGACCACCGGGGCGCGGCCAGCGTTGCTCAGCCATGGCCTCAAAAGAAGTGAAGCTCTCCGGAATGCCGGCCTTCATCACGGACAAGAACAATCCAGTCGGCTACTGCGTGCAGGGTGCCATTGAGCTTTTGGGCTTTGGTTTGGCAATGTTTGGCAGGGCAGGTAGCTTCGGTAATTTTTACTTCGCAACTTGAGCTTGCTTTTGCCAGCCAAGTGAAACAAGATCGCCAGTTCCAAGGCACAATCCACATTGCCGGGTCATTACCGGTGCTATCCATTGTTGCATGTTTCCTTTCAAAACAGTTGACACATGTTGAACAAGCATGAGCTTCATTTTCGAAAGCTCACATTGAGAACATATCATTCATGCGACCGTGACATCCAAGGTTTGGCATGGATTCACGCCGCTTGATCCAACGCTGCACCAAGCCAGATGCCAAGGAGTTCAAGAAGATTGCAGTCGCCTGCGCCATCGGCTTCTCCATCATGGGCTTCATCGGCTACACAGTGAAGATGCTCGGACAGCAGTTTTCCCCATACGCTTGTAGGCCCCTATGCATGCAAAAAGGTCCATCACTCATGAATCAAGACGAAGTTCATCGTGATACTGCAATTGAACTGACTCGAAGTGCCGCCCGTGTTTCCAAGCCGCACAGTGTGCAGCTCAGGCTGGTCTTCATCCCTATCAACAACATCATTGTGGGTGGCAGCTAAGAGTGTGAATTCCTGAGAGGCTTAACCCCAAGGGTGCGAGGTACCACGGAGCAATTTTGACCCTGCTCCAGAAAAGCTTGCTTGTCGCTCGCATGATGTGGACTGTATTCAACAGGTGTCCGCCAAATTTTGTCTCGTCAGTGACGACCCCCACAGAAGTCAAGACATGTTCAACACGATGTTTGGAAAGACAAGAACCTTGTGAGGTTTCCAATCTAACATGTGCCTCCAACATGTACCATATCCCAGATGGGCTTCCATTCAACAACAAGCATTTATATAACCAAATGAATGCTTCACGAAAGATCGGACTTGGTTTGCATCCAGTCATTCGTCCGCTCGCGACACGTGAACCCTTTGTGACTCTTCCAACTGGCTGAGCGGAAACGAGGTGAGACCTGGAGAATCCCAGATGGCCGGAATCCGTAGGAAAGACTCAAGTCGAGTCGATGTGTTGTGTATGGATTGTGTGGAGTGTAGGAAGCATACAAACAATGTGTATCATACTGTATAGTACTGTGACACTGCGTACATATATATATATATATACACATACATATTTTTATATGCAATATGCCATACATATATATATATATACGCACACACACACACCCATATATATATATATTATATACACATACATAGTGTGTATAGATACGCATACAACATGCACATTACACTACGTACGTTACACAGTACGTTAAAGAACGCACCGGATGAAGTGTGACAGCCCTTTCCCAGCATTCTTGGAGTCCGTGATCAGATCTTTCCCGGTAGCGTTTGGCTCTTGTCCTTTGTTGACCAAGAACGGTGATGGATTTCTTTTCTTTCACAAAACGGCTGAAAGTGGTCAAACAAAAAAACCCTGGACCCAGGAGGTTTATATATGAAAGCACGTCCCAGAAATGCAGTCATGCAGAGATTTGCGTAGGGGGTCGGCATCCCTGAAGGGGATCTTGAGAGAAGGATAATTGCCAAGGAAGGTGACTAAGACTGACAAGTGAATATGGACGAACATGGTTGGACAAGCGGCTGTGCGGAGATCGAATGCTTAGTTTTATGATTCGATTGTTGTTGTTTGTTTAAACTGGGGTTTTTGGACGTGTTGGCCAGTAGTTGTCAGCATCTACAAAGACGGATGGTCCAGTACACTTCTCCTCTTCGGAGTCTTTGCCGCGAAATTCAACATTGCGGCCACACTCAACATATATCATTCATGTTCACGCATGTTTTGGAAGCATCCTCACTCAACTTTTAACAAGTCTTGGATAGTCTTGGACCATCCTCAGATCCTATCGCCGCCCCTGCTTCGGATCCTTTTCGGGTGAAGATCCGTCACCTTCCGGGGGGCCATCCGCTAGCGCCGAGCCATGGCCTCGTTAGCCTCCCGTGCTGCCGCCCTCCGGCGCCGGCCCACGCCAATGCCGACCACCGGTGCTGCTTCCACGGTGGCGGTGGTGGCACAGCCACCGTGGCAGGGCTGCAGACACTTGAGGAACGTTGGGATGACGATGGCTTCACGCACGGATGATGGGTGGATCGATTTTCTTCAATGATGCTCACAACTAGTGTGGCATCATGCCCATGAACCATTCTTCTGTAGATTTATCTCAGTCTGTGGGATTGTTCCCATCCAATTCTTCTCCAAGTACCCGAGGCCGCGTGCGCTGGTGGACCGTGTCAAGTGCGTGATGATGCTGGGCGGTGAGAGGTGTAGGATTGATCACCAGGACCATAGCCATAGGGTCAGGGCCTTGCAGGACTGGTAACTGGCTGATCCACCCCATGACTGACCATCCACCCTGACTATGATAGTCAATACAACGCCGCTGATCCACCCTATAGTAACTGGTAGGTTGTTTGCGAAAAAGAGATCTCGCTTGCTAGGGCGGGGTGTGCCACTGGAGGTGAAAACCCATCAGACAGCCCAAGCCGAGAAATGCACCCCGTCAGCAGCGTTTCCCTGCTTTAGGATCAGAGGTGCGGGATGTGTGGTCATCGCCTAGCCACTCGTGTCCCAGTAGTTTCAGAGCAGATGGTACCGTTGGAGCTTGTGTCTCACAAGCATTTGGGCAGTGTGGGCCATGTAGGAGTGCAATCATTTCACCCTAAGCCTCCCATTCGAGGCCCCTACTGTGCACCATTTGCAAAGAGCATGCGCCGAGCGAGATCTGAGGAAAGAGCATGGGCAGATGGCCTATGAGCATTGGCACAAGAAGTGTGGTGGAGACCCAGAGGCTATGGGGTAGCAAGTGGGGGCTATGGCAAGTGGGGTAGCAGCTTGTGTTTCGCCATGCCCATAAGCTCACCATGTTCGATCAGGTTGGGTTGGGTGGGTTTCTGGTTCGGAGCCAGAAGTTGGAGACTCGGAGTCCTGCGAGCGTTGGGCTTCTCGGATGTGTGTGAATGTTTTTTGATAGACCTTTGCTAGTACCTTTGCTCAGAAGATGGGAAGATCTGAAGATGGGAGGGTCACCTGGTCACTTTCAGGGCCGGCCTGGCCGGCCGTAGGTCTTTGATTTGGTCTTGATCCCTTTTGGAGTTGTCTACGGTCAGGACGGTCAGGTCGGCCAGCCGCACACTGTCAGGAGCATACTGCCGAGCAGCTGGCAGAGTTCGTGGAAGATATCGGGAGACTTGGAATTGCTCGCTGCGGAGCAGTGGGTGCCATGACATGGTGCACCGCCCATATGCCATATGTATATACCCATGTGGAGGTTGGGAGTGCGTGACACCGCGGGTCGAAGGCAGTCCGCCTTCCAACTTCCGAAGGCGGTCCGCCTCAACAAAACCTTGATCCCTTCTAGGTCATCAACCTGATCAAGGGGAACATCTCGAGCTGCTAGTCTAGTTCAACTCGTCCAATGTAAAACCAAAACGCTTCAAGCTTGAAGGTCCTGTCCCCCATTTCTGGGCGCAAGACTCGACACCGTGACGACACCTCTTTCGGTCGACCGCTCAGGAAGATGGTGGGCCGTGCGGCTCGAATCGTGAACGAGGCGATTGGAGGGTTGGGGACCGGCTGTCCAGCCCTTGAAGAAAAAAAATAAATATATATATATACGATGTATATATAGATAAGCATGAGCACAACGGAGCCACGAGCAACACAGCACAGCCAACCAAGCACCCACCCACCCATGTGATCAGCCCACTCCTCCAGCCTGGCACCGAAGTAGCACTTCTTCGCCAGGTGAAGCAGCTTCAAGGCAGATGGACTGCAGCCCGGGTGGCCTGGGAACAGCACTGCCGCAGGCTGAAGGTCCCCGACCCCGACCCACGCACCTCGGCCGAGCTCCCGAAGGTCCCGAGCCCCGCGGGTGATCACGTACATGCGGCCCTATACTGTTGAACCTGCGCAGCTTGAAGCTGAGACCCAAACGTGTAGGTGGACACAGAGCAGCTGCGATTCGGGCAGTCTGGCACGGCTAGCAGTGGCGTACATCTTTGAGTAGTTGAATGCCTAGAAGGCAGAAACCCCATTCAGTCAGTCAGAGGATAACCATGAATAACATTGAATAACTGAAAAACCTTTTTGGGGAACTGGTTTCCCCACCTGTTTTCACTTTCCAGGCCAATTGATGCAGGAGTCCGAATGGAGTCCGAAACCCTTTCAGCCAAGAAGTTGAAGCATCAAGGACCCGAAGAAGTTGGACGATGCACAGTGCAGGTGTTGCTGGTGGAGATGAGTGTTGGGACCGCATGCAGTTCCCAAAACCTTGACCAGCCGGACTGGCAGACCCTGCAGATGTTCATTATGGAAGAAATACCTTGCGGAATCTTGCGGATCTCAGTTAATTGAACAGTTCATGTGTCACCCAGTGGGCTATCACACACGGAGAATAAAAGAGTATATGACCAGCAGTCACAAAGGGGTGCTTCATGGAGGTTAGGGGTGCCCAGAACATCCACTCACTTAGGGACTAAACACCACCCTTTTGCTTTCCAGATCGGCCAGGTTTCCAGGCGAAAAAATCCAGGATTCCGGAGGCGGATGGGAGGAATCCTGGATCATTTCACACACTCACGACTGGGTGAGCTGCGCGCAATTGCTTGCCAGCAAGCCAGGGTCGGCTGTCCGCACCAGCATCTGAGGCAAACAAAACGCCCTACAGTTACAAGAGTTCTTGGATTGGTGGGAAGAGCATGGCGCTTCCGTTCCCACTTGGGAACTGGTGAACCAAGTGCGAGAGCTTTGTCGAGAGCGCCTTGGGCCACGGCGGCCACGCGTAACTGTATGCGTATACGACGCGGTTGGACGGTGTGCAGGCGTTTGATCAAGGGGGCCAAAGATCGAGGAACAGTTGGTTCACAAAAAAGTGACAATTGCCTTTCAACTTGTGTTGCCGTGGATGGATTTCTTGTTTTTTAATGCAAGAAGGTTAGACAGTTAGATCCCCAACAACCCCAAACGAACGGTCTCGCCATTAACGAACGGTCTCCTACCAGGTGTTCGGGGGGTCGTCTTCATAAATCAAGATGATTGTTGCCTTTTACCCTACTTGTGCCTTATCCATGTGCTTGACTCATTGACTGGAGCTCATCAAGCATTAGGCAACAAAAAGGGCATAGTGCTTTTGACGCCACGGACATTCCTTGTAGAACCGTGTTGTGCCATACATCCCGACAGTCGTCCGGCGGTGTCCGGGCGTTTGTCTCCGTTTTAGAGTCAGCAGAGGCCACGATCCACAAGAAGGTTCTCTCGCGAGTCCGGTGTGGTCCCCCCACAAAGAGCGCAAAGAGCCGTTAGGAGCCGTTGAAGGAGCCGTCGGGTCACATGAAACAGATGCTGCACCACCGTGAGGAACCTCCCGCTTACGAGTAAGAGCCTTTCGTCCGGCGCCAGGCCATGTCCGGACGAATTGTGTGCTGAAGGTTCGCTTGAGCGTTTCTTTCGTGCAGTCTCGCAAAAAGGCCCCGCGCCCCTCAGGAACGCCGTGGCCAAATGCAGATGGACTCAGTTCTGCAAGTCTCAGGAGGGTCCAGGTGCACAAACAAATCCAGTGATGCAGACGAAAGACTGCCTGGAAACTCTCCTGCACTCAGACATCATGTCAAGAGTTCTTTAAGCCTCTCAATTGGGAAGAGGACACTCTGAAGAAAGCACTTGTTTGGTGCCTCTAATGCTATGATAGACGAATGATCCACGATCTGCCCTCAGATGCATCGTTCCTGCCGGTTCTCCCTGCTGAGGAGACCTTTATGGCTCAGATGCGGGAAGCTGGGATTGTACCCGAAGAAGATGATGACACTTGGAGCTGAATGAAGAGCTGGATGTTTGCTTGTGACATCTCTAGCAACTCTTGAATGACCAGATTGGTCAACTACCAAAGGTTCACCAGCCGGTCACTGTGATGTCTTACCTTCTGCCGAGTTCCCTGGATTCCCGATCCGTCACGAGGAGGACACCAAGCCCGCAGATGAGCCTGAGACCAAGAAGCCTCGCATCGAGAATGGATATCCAGCTGCAGACAAAGAGCCTTCTGCGGTGAGTGTGCTCGTGCAAGACTTGCCGGACACCAGCACCGCAAAGGATCTGGAGGAGCACTTCTCCATCTATGGTCGAGTTCTCAAGTCTTCTTGGATTTCGCCAAATAGCATTTTTTAGCCCAAGCAAAGCCGCCGCAAGTACCTTTTGATGGCTTCGGAGGTAGGGTAGTTCGTTTGGAGTATTGGGGTCGTTCGTTTTTTTTTTTAACGGACTCTTCTCACCCCTAGGGGAGTTCTCACCCCAAGGGAAGTGGTGAAGTTCAATACTTGTGATACTCAAGATGGGTTTCAGTGAGGTTCTTCAAGCAGGAACCTCACTGAAACCCATCTATATTTGAAGTGGGGACAGGATGAACCCGCTTGAATTGGAAACTCATCCCCGCCCTCACTTTAGCGTCGATGGGCCAGTTCTGATGAAAATCTGCGGCGATGGCCGGACGGCTATCCATCAATAGCATGACCAAATGACCCATAGACCCCTTTGTAGGGGAGCAAGACCTTCATCTCAGAGGGTCGATTGTCAAATGGTTGTTAACCACTAGTGCACCTTCCAAGCGAAGACTGAACAAATAGATTGCTATGTTGCTGGTGGGTGTTCGTCTCATGTCCCGCATGTACGGCTCATGAGTGCCTTCCGCCTCCATGCCTCCATGGTACCGTACAAAGAGACCGCACCCGTCGGAAAGGAGACTGTCGTGGGTGATGTGTGTGTTGCCGAAACACTTGGAGTCCACCTCTCCAAACATCTCCAAACAACGTTTTGGATACTAGACGACAGACGAGCAGAGAGCGAGTGGTGGAAAGGCATTGTCCAGCATGACTGACAGATTGTTCCAACATAATGCCAGCTACACAACCACTCACACGTTACATGGAATGGAAAGACGACCTGGAAAGGCATACTAGTGGAAGAGAGTGATTTCTCCAGCTTCCTTAAGGAAACTGGTCGGAAATCACCTGGATGTTCCAAAACCGGATCAGTTGGAATGCCCCCCCCCCCAACTCCACCGTCTTCCGCTGACCCCTCCGCTCCGCTGCTCGAGAGCGGTTCCCGCGCTGACCGACCTATGTCCGTCCAGGTCGAAGGTGCGACGGGTGGATGGAGAGCTGGAGGGCTTGGTGGTCTTATCTCCGGAGATCACCAAGGAGTGGCGGAGCAAACCGCGGGCGGGTCGCGTGGAGGTGTGGTGTGAAAACGGCGTGGGGTGTGGCGTGGCCACGGCAATTTTGGGTGAGCCCCCTTTCGGAGGTTAAGGGGAGGCAGCTAATTACTGGGAAGTGGCTTGGAAGGTTCCAAACTGACAGGGTAGGATAGGCCAGAAGGGGTTTGGATAGGGGTAGTAGGGACCCAGTTGGGAGCGTTGGGAGGGGTATAGGGGGGGGCTCCCTTGTGTGTTGAGGGGGAGGGTGGATTCATACGAATCATGTGGCCAATCTTTTCGAATCTTTGAGACCCTTCGGCCGCTTCAAAGCGGTACCCTTCTACACATGAACATGGACCCTGAAAACCACCAAACATGGTCGGTGACTTCCTGGCGCCGACGCGCCTGGACCGAACCAATCAGGAACTGACGTTCCATGTGCGGCCTTGCACGCCCCTCCCGTCGTCGTCGGTCCAGTCGGTCCAGGACGCCATGCAGTTGATTCGCGTCTTGCTGGACCACTCGCATCAGATCAACGGAGAGCAGGTGAGGTGCGAAAGGCAAAGAAGAAGTTCGGATCGAGAATCGTCGAGCTGCGCGGGGGCAGCGAGTGCTGGAAAAAAAATAGACCAATGAGAAGGCACGCGTGGTGGTATGGTATGTTTCGCATGTTTCGATTGGTGGAATGCTTCATTCCAAGCATGCACGCAACTTCAAATGCCAGCCCCAAAGATGCTGTAGAAATGAACTATCCTCTAAAGTGGGACAGGAGGCAGGTCTGAGCACACCTGCAGCGTTCGACCATGGCATGAGATGCGCCATGGCATCACGGACCTCATCCACGTTTCATGGGCCAAGTCATTGCATGTTTGGGGGATGGAGACCACCCATGACGAGTCACGTGACTGATCATCGGCGCGTTCTTGTGCCGCATCAGGTGAAGGTCAGGACCCTCCTGGAGAGTTGACCAAGCAGCAAGACTTGCCGCTTCGACTGGATTTGCGGGGTGAATCAGCGAGTGATCCCAAAAGCGGGTCGAACAAAGAGATGACTGGGCTGGCTGATGCTGGCTGTTTCATATGGATCTTTGGCATTCGAAGGACCTTTCGGAGACCAATGATCACAGATCTCTAGGTCAAGGGTACCAGAAGTTGAACACTCTTAGAAGGGTAGCGCAGGCAGCCAGGCCAGAGGAGAAGAATTGAACTTTGGGAGCTGAACAGTCCCAGAAGACTGATCACAGTTCAGCTCCCTTGGGGTGCTCTCCGGCTAGCTGGTGCTATCATTGGAAAAGAGCGAAAGGGGCTGAGAGATGAGGAACGCAGGGTACAGATGCCCGGGACGTGGGCTTGGTCGCTCTCAGACGCAGCCTGAAGAACCTCTATCTTGCACGGGATTCTGTGGGGGGTTACTGTCGCAACATGTAAAGGTTTGCATTTTTGGGGAGGTAATGCCCCAACCTTCAACACTCCCTGCCTGAACCTTGGCAGGGGAAGACGATCTCAAATTGCCCATTCGCTTGCTTAATGCGTTATTCTCACTGCAGCAGTAGCAATCAGCCAACATTTCTGTTGTACGCTGGAAGCTGGAATCCGCTGGTATAGGATCCATGATGATCCACGCTTCGCTTCTAGAAGAGAAGAAGAAGAAGAAGAAGAAGAAGAAGAAGAAGAAGAAGAAGAAGATAGCACAGGTTTCAATTTTCAAGTGATTGATTGATTCATGATTCAACGATTGATCCGTCTCAGTCCATGGATCAATCCATCAATCATATGCACAGCTTTCAAGTGACGGCTTCAGAGTCCATTTGATTCAAGTTGGATGTGTGACGTGAGACTTTAGGCTGTGACTGTAGAGCGGTGCTTTCTGGAATGATCATTTGGTGGCGTTCACAGCATGGCAGGTCCAACTCTGCTAAAAACAGCCTACCTGTTTGTACAATCCCTGGAGTTATCATGGAGGAATCAAGGAAGACAGGTCCGGTCAAGCGTTTTCAATCCACTACTACATGGGGTAACCAGAATCATCCAAGTTGGTGGAATCACCACCCACCTGATGAGTTGGAACACTACATCAGGTGTCTGTAGTCCAAACCCACCTGATCTCTTGTTTTGGAGAAAGCTCCAGGCCGTCTCCGTACTTCTTCGCCAGGCTGGACCGACTGGCCCGTGCTGGAGAGGAGCGTTGTCCACCGTCCACGCGGACTCGGTACGCCTGTTTTCGGCAGCTCAAACCAGTTGTGACACGGGGCACGACCTATGGATCCACATAGCGGCTATAGCGAGGGGATGATATTGGTGACACATGGTGACACAGGCCCAAGGCGGCCCAAGGCGCCTCAGGAGGGTCCAGCCGAACCTGCTGAGAAGGCAGTGGATCCCCCAACAAAGGGTATACGTTTGGTTCTCGGCATGTAACTGAGCCCGCCAGAATGGACCCCCAGGGTATGTAGCTGTCAATGGAGTCATAAGATCAAATCAATACCCCAGTTGTGTTCAGTTCTGAGTAGTTCATTGGTCCACATGCTGTTCAGTTTGCCTCAGATTCCACATGTCAACAGTGGATTTTGCACTGGCCACACCCAGACGTCACTAAGTAAGCAGGGAAGAACAACTAAGTAACTGCATGCCAAATGAATCCAAGTGAAACGTCACAGACAAGGCCCTACATGCCCCTACCTGAAGCCACCCAAACAAGCCTGTCGGAGCTGTGACCCGCAGTCACAACACCAAATTCAAAGAGAACACCGTGTGACACCTTGGTGCCTGACGACACAGGCGGCTCAAGCCCTGGCTTTCACGAGAGCCGTTGATTCGCCGGGGCGAAATCGACCGAGACCGCTGCGATCCGCCGCGCGCGGTTCGACCCGCAGAAGAGACCCGACCGAGTCAGAGCGCTGTCCGAGCGCAGCGAGTTACGCGCCGGCGCTGGGACATGGCCAGCCGGTTGGCACCAACCTTGAGGAAGTATGTGCATCGTTGCTGGGAGCAGACCGACCGACCGAGAAAACGGATGGGAATGGGTGCTTTTCTGGAGTTCAAACAGGAGTCAGCTGGCCGGTGAGGTTCTATGGTTGCACCACCGAACTCTGTTGCGGTATAAATCACTTGTGTGAGGGGCAGGTTTAAGTCGGCATGGGCAATCCAGAACACGTGGGGCTGGTTTCGGAATTCCAGGCTGGTGGAAACTGGCCTAACATTAACCCTAGAGTCCTAGAGGTTCTAGAGAGTGCGGTCATCCACCCAGATTCAACTTTTGGCGCTTTAGCATGGCAGCACACTATGCAGCACTTCCCCTGGTATCTTCAGCAACCTCACCTTCCGCGGCCCTTTAACCACCGGGCCCGCCTAGTTCCGAGTCCGAGTTTGCAGGTTATATGCCCAAGTACCTGGCAGCGCAGCATGTGCGCAATTGGGCAGCCTGGACAGAATGGAACCCCGTGGATGGACAGGCCTACCGTGCTCTCTTTCAACAGAGGACCGCGGGATTCGGGCGGGCTTACGTCGGGCAGCAGGCAGGTCAAGGTGGTGGTTAGTGGTTGTTGAGCAGGTAGGCAGCATGCCGTGGAGTTACTCAAAGCAGGACCGATGTAAGAGATTGTCACGATGTCCCGTCAGAATGCTCATTGACATCTTAATGTTCCATAGACATCAACAGAGCTAGCATGCCCTTTGCGGCTTCATATGGAGATGTTGTTTTTCCATTCTGAGTAGCTGGTACTAGTAGTGGGGTGAGGATGGATTTACATGATCCACTCCCACCCAACCACCTCCACAGCTCCATGTGTGCCACCGTATGCCGGACCCAGGAGGACCTCCCCGGCCGAATACGTGGAATTCGCCGTCTCCCTCCGCCAGCGCCGAGATTTGCCTCAGGCGCTGGGGGGCGAACTGGAACGGATGGTGCTGACTGGTGCGAGAAGTCCACTGAATGTAGACTCTTGATTTATAAAGCCTCTCCATGTGGATTGGAAAAGCTTTCTATATTTTATATACGGGGTTTGGTGAACCAAGAGTTTACATGATGATCCGTTCAGAAAGAAAGAGGATGTGTAAGTGTAAACCATGATGTTTAAGAAGTGGGAGATGAAAGACACCAACACCGGGATCAGTTTCACTATAAATTGTGAAAGTCTCGGTTGAATAATTATGTTGCGATGCTGGTTGGCCGCTTGGCTTGTTTTTTGTTGCTTTTGCGTTTGACTTACCCTTTGTCAGTCAGTGAACGCCTTCTTACTGTTGCTGTCTGCCAACATTGACACATGACCCTATGTAGAAACTAGTATTTGACGGCTCCAGTTCCCAATAACAATATAGCCAATGTAAGGGAGAAGGGTGGCGCTTTCGGGGAACCCCACACTCAGTCAGGCTGAGTTGTGCGCTCTTGGATTTGCTCTTGGACGTGAAAGGAGCAAGAACAGAGACTCCTGCAAACTCGTGTCAGGAGTTGCTGGCGAGCCTGCAGAAGGATTTGGCCGAAGAGTCATTGGGTGAAGAAACGGGTGGGACTCGAACGCTTGTCGCCGGAGCGGTCTGAAGAACGTGACCAAACTGGTTGCTGGTTGCTGGTTTGGGGTGCTGGTGGGTCGGTACATCAGCTATACTTATATAAGCTTATAAGCCTCAGGCGAAGTCTTGTTGAATTTTAGCTTGTGGTTGGTAAAGATCGCCCTCACTGCAAGCAATACCATAGACTGAATGTTTCGTAAAACTTGGTACTTTCCTCAAGATCTTGCAGAATGACTTTTCGCCCAAAAACCTTTGCTGTATAGGATGTTGCCTCTAGTACTGTATACTGTACTGTATAGGATGTTGCAAGTGATTCAGTCTTTCTCATTGGAACTTGAAACGATCGGCACGTCGATCGATGTGTGCCGCCCTTCTCCCCTAGATCCATCGTATCGCGGAGGGCGTTCAGGGGCGTTTCCAAAGATTCGCATCAGCTTCATTCATTCTGCACCAAGCGATTTGCATCCATTTGCTGCATCTAGTCTTGGAATGAATCACTCGGAAGCAGGCACCGTTCGCACTTGGAAGCCCTCTACGGCCAACGTCGTGGTCCCGGGTCCGGGCCGTGCCGTGTCGCCATGGCGACCCTGTCGTAGCTTCGTTTCGGTTCGGTGGGATGGACGGGGTGGGGTGGGTGCCTTCTGAGGGTCCAGTCATACCGAACCTGAGGTACGACTGGAGCCCTAGGGCATACTGTAATTGGCATGTGAGGCCACACGCTTTTTTTTCAGTGATCCCAGTGATCTCACGAGGCGTTTGGAGTCCGCATCTCCCAAAGCAATAGAGCACCCGCTCACGAAGAGGTCGCTGTTTCGAAGCCCTATATGGCTAGCGACCACCGCTACATATTATAGACCCTGGACATATTAAAATACTAATTACATGATCTAGATTACCCTCTATCCATGGTGTTGGTGTTCGAACATGCTCTCCAAACCCACATGTTTCAGGTTCACTAGTGGGGTCTACCAAGTCACCTCCATCTCAGCCTCCTTCCACTTGCCACGGCGGCATCCGAGGATCCTAAGACAGGCAACCACTCAGAGCGAGACCCTGCAGGCCGCGGTTGAAACCCGCGCGTCGCGAGCAGGGAGGCGCAACCATTCGGGGCTGAGCTGGACTCCTGTTGCGGCGCCAGGTGGATACAGAGCCGTGGCCCAAAGCCCTCAAGGATCAGCTGTTGGAGGTGGGACAAACACAGCCTCACGGCTGGGGCCTCCGTTTGGTGCAACCTTGGCATGAAACAGCTTGGGTGATGAAGCAGATGGATTGCAGTGGTGATTTTTCTGTTGGCGATTGTTGTTCGATCTTCTTTGTCGATAGCAGTGCAAAGCTGAGACACTTGACGATTTTTTTGGGCTCCACTTGACGCCGAGCTCCGCAGGATGTGGCTGAGGCCTTGACCCTCCTTGGGGGTGCAGAAGAGGCTGAGGAGCGCCACCTGCGCCACAAGTCGTTCGTACAGGTTGGATATGTTGGATCCAGAAGAAGTGTAGCATCTAAAGAGGCAACCCTTGAGAAGATTGTAGCTTCATTGTCTTTGGGCCAATGAGTGTTGGGATGGTGATGAGATGTTTCAAAGTTTTGGGCGATGTGCTGAACAGCCATGCTGTTTCAGGCAGATTGCCACAGGGCCAGCCTTCAGTGCCTTTCATCCCCTTCGTCCAATGGTCCGCGCACCAGAAAATGAAGGCTTTCATGAGACGCTCGAGTCCCCAAAGCGATCTTCATGAGGCCCACTTCGCGGAACACTCACCTCACACCGAAAAACGACACCGAAAAACGGCCACAGATCCGGACCCCCGTGAAATCGGACCGCCACAGCATGACCAAGCGACAAAAACAGGTGCGTGGGGTGCGAACGCGCAAGTCCGAGAAGAATGGCGTAACGCGCATCAAACATCTCAAAGATGGCTTCACTTGTATGACATGCATGGTTACTTGTGAAACTGGCAGGCCATGTTGCTCAGCTGGGGGACTTCCGCCCACAGCATGGCCAAATACGGTATTAAGTAATCTTCTACAAACTTGTTCTTGAACTGATTGGTAGAACGTTGTAGTTAAACTGGTTTTCCGCCTTGGGCGAAACTTTTGGCAGTCTTTCACCTGAATAAACCCAGACCAGGTCCATCAGTGGTTGGGCCCTTGATGTTCATTCCCAGAGCCGCCTTGATCAGTGGTGTGAGTTTTTTCTCAGGACCCTCTTGAGATCGACAAGCTGAATTCTGGCAGCAAGGATGGAGGGCAATCAGGTAATTCATGTGCACAGTAACAAGAAGACATTAGGTTGGAGGCCATCGCTACTAGGGTGGAGGCCATCGCTACTAGACTACTAGGGTGGAGGCCATCGCTACTGGGGTGGAGGCCATCGCTACTAGTTTGGAGGCCATTGTACGCTTACTTATAATTGTATAATATTGTATATATATATATAGATATATAGAGAGAGATAGATATGATATGTTTAGACTACGTATATAGATAATATCATATTATACATGAACTGAACTATTGACATGCACTTTTCCTAGACAGTAGCCAAGTAGAAACCCACTGGGAATCGTGGTAGCGCCCTGCAACAGTCGCCGGGAGGTGGGATATTGGTGTGGCCCCTTATAGACTGTTGCTCCGGTTTTTTTCAGTGATGGGAATTCTTTCCATTCCTTCGCGAGACAGAGCTCTTGCGAGGCCTATGCTTTAGCCAGCAAACATGGAAGTGAATGGCAATGGACATCAAAGGGCCCTTGAAAGAGAAGATCTTCCTCTACAGGTCTTTGTGTTCATGCCTTTCCACTGCCCATATAGGTGTTGGAAGGTTGGTCTCATCCTGCAACCCGACCCTCACTTCCTCACGCGCTGCAGCACCGCTCTCGTCGTCGTGACCCGCTCTCCAGCCTTTCCCGTGTCGTTTGCGCTTTTGCGTGCTGCCGACCTCCGTGCGCGCGGTGCGCATGCGGTCACCCATGGCGTCGCCTCGCCACGCCTCGCGGCTCGAGGAAGGGCGAGGCGCACGAGCTTTTGATCGAGCTTCACCGCTCGGAGCTCTTTTGGGTGCGTGGCTCGGCGGAGTGGTCGTCCACGTCCCGCGTGGCATTGGGAGGCCCTTAACCTGCGGAAGGGCCTCAATGGGGGGATCTTCAGTGGTTTTTTTCTTTTGGGTTTCGCCGTGTTGAAATCGCACCCAGGAATTTTAGCCTGAATGGGTGGATCTCGGGTTGGGGTTGGTTGTGTTTGCTTTGGGTTTGATTGGTTGGTTTGAGATGTTTGAGTTACTGTCGTTTGCCGGTGGAAGTGCCGGTGGAATTTTGTTCTCTCCGATGCTACAAAGCTTTCCTCAATGCTCTCCCCAGTGACTTGTTGCGTTCGCATTAGCTACCCCTACCAATCACTGCCAGCTGTATTTTTAACACCCAAACCATGTATGGAATAGTTAATGACTTTCTTAGGGTCATGCACAGGGCAATTGTACCATAAAATGTGTATGAAACATAATGAAACTATTCCATACATGGACGATCGGGGTTCTGCAGCGCTTTGTGACATATTGTCAAAAAGAACACCTCAACCAACGGATCCAGCTGGACACCTCGTCGCAGGGCGAATCAGCTTTTGGACAATGGGAGTATCATATTTCAACAATAACATTGTGGCGTCGACGATGCGGTGAAATCAATGGACATTGATAATTAATGTGTCGAATCGATGTGGCGAAACGCCCTTGGGCAGTTTCCATTTAACGCTCGGTGCGTTCCGCCTGCGGATACTGCGCTCTCAGCGCTGAGCTGACGCTGGGAGGTCACGTAGTATTACTTTGAAGAGGTGGTTGTAGGAAACGGCGATGCCTGCGATTTGTCCCATATATACTGGCCCCCAGTTCTTTAGATGGCATCTTTACCATATATAGGATATGCGGATATGCCATGTGTAATTATTTAGCGGGAAACATGGAGGGCAAGTGTGTTATTGTTCTCACCACTGCACCCCCTCTCACTATAACATGGAAGTGGCCAATGGCCGCTGCGAAGATCATTTTCCTCTGACAAACAGGGTGGATAAAACCCTCCATGTTAGTGAGTCAGAGGGGTACGTCACCAAGATGGCACATCCGCCAAGAACCATGAATTCCCTCCCTCCTTTGACATGTGCTAAATGAAGCGCGACAAATTTGCGGCCCAGGTTCCCAGCTGCTGTCCTTCCGCGCGAAGAGCGCCGCCTTGTGGCGCGGAGATCTCAAGGAGGCCAAGAACCTGGGGCAGCGGATGACAGCGGCAGGTGTCGAGGTCGGCACCGGCGAAGAGGCCGGGACCGCTCGCGCGCGCGCTCGCACGCTCTCGCGCGCGCGGTGTCCGACCCCGGGTCGGAGACGTTTTGGGGCGACGAGGTTTGTTGAGACGAGTTGTTCTCACTGTTGGCAGGGACTTTTGGAAGAGTGGCCAGGTGACCAGGTGGAGGGAAAAGATGTTCAAATGAATGCTGTGTGTCGATCAGACCCCATCTTTGGAAATGGATTGAAATAAACTCTAGCTTGATTAATAACGCCCCCTTGGTTATAGATCAAGAATAGATCACGTCTGCCAAGTTTTGGTTTCAGGAGTTAGCTCATTGATGTTCTTATCAGCAGGGCGGAGAGGTGAAAAAGTGGTGGTTGCTATGGAATGGCAGCCTGAGGCCGGCAAGAGTCAAGAGTTTTTCTTGATACCTCGGCCATTTCAGTTCAACATAGTTCAACTTCAACTACAACATTCAAAAATTCTGAAACTGAACCAGCACCTTCCAACAGGTCTCCGAAATGGAGGGTTGTTAGGCCCGAACAGGTTTCAATTGGCGACCTGTGGAGTCGGTGCTGGAAGAAAGGAGCTGAAATGGTTAAGAAGAGGTCATGATTCACCGGGGCTCAGCCGACCGACTGCCCCAGCCTCCGAACGCGAGCCATCAGAAGTGGATCCACCCTGTTTGGGGATGCAGTACAGTGTGGACCTTGGCATGACATGATGCAGGTCACAGCTAACTCACTTTGCACTAGTGATTTTCTAGGTTCTTCTACAAGGTGATTCTCTAGGTTCTAGAGGCATGTGAGGCTTGCCATGGAAAGCTTGCCATGGTCCAGACGATGGGTTCCGGCACTTGAATTGCCCGACCGGAGTGCCGGAACCGGGCATCCACAATGGCAACCTTCATGAAGCGTCTTAGACGGGAGCATGTGCTGACACAGTCACTTATTCATGAGCTCCAAACTTGATGCTCCTTGTAGAAGGAATCGTTGGTCACTTGTCAGAGGCCATCACGAGTTTTCTCAAGCCTTCGTGTCACCTATCTTTTTCTGATCTTGCTTTCCATATATACACAGCAGTTCCACCATGTGCTTCGTACCTTTCCTTTGAAGTTCTGGACAAGTGGCTAGCATGGGACCACAAGAAGGGCGAGTTTCGGCGCTAAGACCGAGTTTCGGAAGGGTTGGCGCAGCGCCATGTACTCTGAAATTGCGAATGGAAGTGCAGCGATACGTACAGTGCAACATGTACATATATATGTGTACCATATGTACTTTGGCTCAAGGATCAAGCGACTAGAAAAGGTGCGGTTTCCGTTCCGACGCTACGCCGCTTATGGACCGTCAGTGATAGCTTCAAACTTCGCTGATTAAGATCCACTCGCAGGTTATCAGCCGTACGCGCTCTTTATAGCCGTACGAGCTACACGAGACCGAGAACAAGACTAGTCATTATAGAAACCTGCAATGTCAAGCTCAGGAGGAAATGGAAGCGAACCCTATTCATTCGCTGCTCCTGGTGGTCCCAACACCATTTCGTCACCAGACTCTACAATGGGTACTGATTCATCAGCAAATGCTGACGTTATCACTATGCCTACTGGATCACAAATATCGGAAAGATCCGTGCCACCGGCTCGGAATCTGACCGATCTTGCACCCGTAGGACCAAGAAGATCAATGAGAGCTACAACAAGATCTACATCGCCTATAACGTCTACCGCGAGATCCCCAAGAAGGAGTATAGAGAAGAGACGTGACGATGATAGAGGAACAAAAGAGCAAAGAAGAGAGATTCAGCTGGGTGAAGAATTGAGATCGGCGAGAAACGCATACAACTTTCTTCATCAAGAATATGAATGCATCCAAGCCGGATACTCACGACTACACCACGAGGCTGAAGTGGAGTTCAGGCAAATGTCTGACTATAACAGGAAGATGCAGGAACATCTACAGGAGATGACACAGGAGGATGAAGGGGCGACAATAAGAATTGAAGAGCTCGAACACAAGCTACGTTTGGCGGAATCGACAGCTGAGCATATCTACATGAGATATCAAGAGCTTGCACAAGAAACTCATCAAGAACATTCAGAGCTTGAATCTGTGAAAGCAACGAAGGACAGAATGTCCCAAGAGCTTCAAGCAGCAATTGGACACATCCAAGACCAGAATGAATCTTCATTGGTGATCAATAGAAGATCAAAAGCCATTCAGGATGAGAACACAGCCTTCGTTGGAATAGCTGACCAGATACAAGCTAGAATGATTGCGCTACAGGATGAGAATGTCAACATGCATGAGGTGATCCAACACCAGAGAGAAGAACAATGGAACAGTGAGGTCAGGGAAAAACGTCTTCAACACAGTGTTCACTCGTCTCAAGATCAGAGCAATCAGGAAGCTATGGTTATTGATCATCTACGAGGTCAACTAGCTATGGCACGTGGAGCTGAACTCAACGCGAAAGCGGAGATGGGAGAGATGGAAGTGGGCATGAGGATGGAGATGTTTATATGCCAAACTGAAGTCTCTGCTAAAGAAATGGCAGATGCGAGGGCGAGCCACCACGAATACGAAGCAAACGTCGCAAAAGAGGTTATCGCAAAAGGAGAAATATTCAACAACGAAGTCCTAGAAGGTTCCATCCGTGAACGACAACAATTGAAAGACGTCAACCTCGCTCTATCCGAAGCCAACGCACAGCTGAAAAGAGAGAATATGATGAGAGCTCCTATGTTCGGCGATGATGGTGCTGAAATTCAACAGAAGATCAGAGAACTGGAGGATGCACTATTGGAAAGCCAGAAGGAGACAAAGAATGTCATTATGGAAAATGCGAAATTAAAAGCAGAAGCACGAATGGCACCCATAGTCTCTCGGTACAGCAAGCGTTCTAGTTCCAGAGAACGCGGGTTACCAACCCACGCGTCCGAGGAAGATGAGGTTCGGAACGCAAAAGAGGAGGCGAAATACTACAAGGACGGGTACAATGAAATGACAGAGAGCCGAGATGAGATGTATGAATGGTATGCCGAAACCCACAATGAGTACGCCGAGGAAAGGGAGAAGTCAATTGAGCTGTCCGAGGCGAACAAATCATTGAGGGATAAGATTTCAGAAACAGAGGCATCCTCTTCATCTCATCTTGCACCGACAACCTCTACTGTCATGAAGGTATCGAGGAAGGAAGAATCAAAGATAAACGTTCCGTCATGGCCCAGGATCAATGATATTGGATTATGGAAGGCAAATCTCATTCAATCAATCATCATTGCGGCCAATGATTCAGATCAAGAGCCCTGGATCGATTGGATCAAAGAAGCCATGGACGATCCTGATCCGGACAAGTTTGTCGACTCAGGAGACCAAAGATTCCATTCAATCGATGCTAAACTCGGCCTAGCTCTTACCAAGGTCGTCATGGATGCGAAAGATGATGGTTCAGGTGTAGCTATGAAGTTGAGGACGAGGATCAATGCAAAAGGGAGAACATCAAGCCTTATAAAGGGAAGAGAGGTCCTAGCCCTGATCCTTATGAACTTCAAGACAACATCAAATGTGGAAGTCTTATATACTTCAATGCACCTCTACCAACTAGAATATCAGGGAGACAAGAACTTATCGTTGTTCTTCCACACTTGGGATGAGATTCTGGCAGGAATGAAGCCCGTTGACGTCCCGAGCGACGAAACTCTTCGGGATCTCCTATGGAGAAAGATCAGGAACTCAAACCTCATGGCATACGACATCAGCGCCTACAACAGTATGAACGACGATGATGCCAAGAAGACATACAAACATCTACGTGATATGATCAGAAGGCACATCGAACGGCAAACTGAAGACAGGATGATCCTGGAAAAGGAGAAAGCAGTGAAGAATGTAGCCAATATCTTTCAGAATCTCAAACCAGGCGGACCTGCTCCAAAACTGAAAGCTGCACCAGCTGATCCGAAGAAGAAACCAAAAGGGCAACAAGAACAAGTTGTCTCAGAAGACGCTGCTGCAGTGAAACCGAAACCCAATCCCAAGAAGCATCCTGAAGATAAGAACAAAAAGGGAAAGGGGAAAGGTAAAGGTGATGGAAAGGATCGCAGCCGAAGTCCGAGTACAGACAAAAAGAAGATACCGTGCAAATTCTTCGTAAAAGGTAACTGTACTATGGGGAAGGATTGCCCATTCAGTCACAAGAAACCCAGATCGCCATCCAGAGGACCTTCTGTCGGAAAGAATGACAAGCCAGTATGTTGGATGTGGATTCGAGGAACTTGTGACAAAGGGAAGGATTGTAAGTTCTACCATGACCCAAAAGCCTCTCCTAAGAAAGGGATATCTGTACCAGCTGACTCAGGAGACGATAGGCCGAAGCCCAAGGCAAAACCCAAACCGAAACCTAAGGCGAAGCCTGGAGCCCCGGCCATTGGCGGTGAACTCTTCATGGACGAATCCGAAGATGAAGGGATGGCTGCATCCGCCAAGGCGAGAGAAGGAGGTACAAAAGTATCCTTTGATGAAGAGACTTGTGAGATCATGTTGAACGAAGCGATCTACTCAGTCAGGGACAAATGGAAGGTAGTAGAAAAGAAACCTCTACGTCCGGACATCAAACGATATGATGAGAGAGAGCTCACCTGCTACACGAGGAAAGAACAAATCAGATTTGAAGAAAAGGTCGCAGAGGCAAGAGGCATATTGATGGTCCCCTACACTGAGATCAAGAGGGTCCGAATACCAGTCGGACCAAAGGGTGACCTATCGGTCACTATGTCTTTTGATGAAGATGACGGCCTAGTTTTCCATCATAAAGTCATTCCTCATGTATGCGAGGGAAAGAATGATCATGCAGACGCAAAGACGTTGTCTATTCCAGCCAAAGGGTCAAGAACGAAGTTCATCATGGACACAGGATGTGGGTATGATCTGATATCGAAAGGCAGAGCCAAGAAACTAGGTCTGGAAGTGAGAGAAAGCGACCAATCAATGTCATTCTATACCGCAAATGGAGTGACATCCACAAAAGGGGTC